CCCAACATTGACCTCAGGCTTCCAGCCTGCAGAACTCCGAGAAAGAAATTTCTGTTGTTTATAAAGGCACCCAGTCTGTGGTACTTTGTTAAGGATGGATGAAGGCAGTAAGTATATACAATATGCACATGAGCAAGCGGGGGAGGGGCACAGAGAAAGACTCTTAAGCAGGTTTCATGCTCAGTGCAGAGCCCAGTTTGGGGCTCGATCCCATGACCCTGGGATCATGACCTGAGCCAAAATCAAGAGTTGGACCCTCACCTGACTGAGCCATCCGGGTGCCCCAGAAAGATTGCTTTTTTAATTGAGCCTCTCTAGGTAGCAGGGGGGTAATGGATTCAGGTAGAGCAAAGCTAGTTCTGTGAAGACAAACACTGGCTGCACACAATGAGGGGAAGGGCCCCTAAAGCAGCTGTGAACAGGAGGGTGATTGTTTCAGGACGATCCGCCTCAGGGTAATGGCGTCAGAACATAGATGGTTTACTATCTTTTTATAGGGTGAGGGAAGCTCATTTATTCCTCTCCTTGTTGAATAGCGAGGGATTTATTGGGGTGCCTGGCTGGCTCAGTCGGTGGAGCGGTGCAACTCTTGATTTCTGGGTCGTCAGTTCAAGCCCCCTGTTGGGTGTGGAGCCTGCCAAAAAAAAAAAAAAAAATAGTGAGTGATTTATTCATTCAACAACATTTAAGAAGGCAGTGAACAACTATTTATTGAACTCTACTGTGTACCTACTTGTAGAAAGGTGAAGTTAAGTCTAGTGGCTTTGAAGAGCACAAACCAGGGCCGCCTGGGTGGCTCAGTCAGTTAAGCCACCGACTCTTGGTTTCAGCTCAGGTCATGATCTCACGGTTTGTGGGACTGAGCCCTGCATCGGACTCCAAGCTGACAGCATGGAGCCTGCTTGAGATTCTCTCACTGCCCTCCCACCCCGCCCTCAAAATAAACTTAAGGGAAAAAAAAAAAAGAACACAAACCATGATAGCCCAAGGGCAAGTTATACAACGCTATGAGCTTCCAGAGGAGGGACAGCGAAGGGAATCAAGACAAGTTTGACGAGGGAGGTGGCATTTGACCTGCAGCATGCAGGTGTTCAGATCTGTGCAAAGAGGAGCAGGGAGGGCATTTCTGAAGGGGAGAATGGTAAGGACAGAAGAACAGAGAACAAACTCTTTGTGCCTGTTTCCTTATCTGGAAAGGCATAAACACTCTGCTACATTTTTTCTTTTTTTTCCTGAAAATGTATCACAGGCTTAAAAGGCAGAAACCATGACCCCAAATTTATCTTACAAGGAACTGAAATGTTCCCGTCTTCCTTTGAAGACAAGAACCTGAAATGACCTTGTTTGGTTCACTTACAGACACTTGCTGTCCCTCCTGCTGTGTTCTACCACAATATTCTACAAGGTCAGTGTTACTTGCAGGACACGAGTCTTATTGAATCATAGGTGTTTGGGAGAAATAAACTTTATGTGGTCAAGGAAGCATGAAGACGACTGTACCAATCAAACCCCAACCCATTACTGCAGGTTCGCTCTGTGCCTATAATGTGCAAACGTGCCGCCATGATTCTAAGATGAGGATATGTTTCTCTATGTTTTCCGAGCTCTGTCACCACTAAAGTCTTCTGTTCCTTGGGGTATCTTATGAAACCTCTTATCCTGTTGAACCTACTTTGGAAGAAGCTGCCTTAGCTGTTGCTGACTCAGTACCAAGAGGGTTTTTTCACTAGCGACGGAAATACTCCAGGCACTTTTCAATTCCCCATGCTTGTTGAGGGAACAAGCGTAGTTGTCCTGGGTTAGTGGGCTTCTTTTCAAGTGATTGCAGAAGGGAATTAATGTTTACCATATATTAGCCCATATATCGTCACAAAACCCATGAGACTGGTGTTATTTTTATCTCTGCTTACAGATAAGGAAACTGACAGATGGGGAATTTAAGTCACGTGTTCAAGGTCACACAGTCGGAACGGGCAGAATGTGGGATATGACGGGGATGGTGCTGCTATCTCAGCATGTTATCACTGTACTCTGGGAGTTTGGGGGAGATCCCTTCATTTTCCTGTACTTAATTTCATAATAAACGAGGGGAATAATACCTACTCTACTGCCCTGAATTATTGTGAGATCTAGGGGGTGGGGTGGAGAAAAACTCTAAAAGTACGATGAAAGATTCAGCATGGTTAGTCTAATATCCAAATGGAGGGGCACCTGGCTGGCTCAGTCGGTATAGCATGGAGCCTGCTGAAAAAAAAATAACATCCGAACGGAGAAATATGCTAGATGGCTTTTTTATTTATTTTTTTTAGTTATAAACATTTTACTTTATTTATTTATTTATTTATTTATTTATTTATTTATTTATTTATTTTAACGTTTATTTATTTTTGAGACAGAGAGAGAGAGAGACAGAGTGCGAGCAGGGGAGGGGCAGGGAGAAAGGGAGACACAGAATCCCACAGAAGCGGGCTCCAGGCTCCAAGCCATCAGCACAGAGCCCAACATGGGGCTCAACGCGGGGCTTGAACTCACGAGCCGTGAGATCATGACCTGAGCCAGAGTCGGCTGCTTAACCGACTGAGCCACCCAGGTGCCCCCAAACGGGCCTTCTGCAGCTCAAAGTAACAGCAGGCCTCTGTGGAGGAGGCGTCTTTCACCAACCTCTTCTTAGTAGCACTTTGGGCTTTAGGGCTCCAGGGATTGAAGACCTCGTGTAAACAGGAAAGCAAGTTTATAAGGTCCAAATAGTTTATATTGTCAAATTAGAGGCATAGGTGTATGGTACAGGGAGGTTCGTGCTAGGAAAACATCTGAACGATGTGCTAGAAGACATCTTTGTGAGATAAAAAAAAACATGTTATTTTAAACCCTCAATTCACAGAACTCATTCTCCAGAACACGTGGAGTCGCGGTTGGACTTTTAAGAGGTAGGATTCAGGAAGCATCTTCCTTCTTCCTCAGAGAGAAGAGAGGGGGACCCCCAGGGAGCCTGTGTGTTAGTAGCCAACTATTCTTTGGTTTGTTCTCCAAATATTTGCATTCTACCTACTTCGTAGTAGGCCTGGGAGGTGAATAACATTGGTTTGTTGCTCTTAAGCTCATGGGCTAGCCAGGGACACAGATGGATAAGCAGCTAGGTACAAGACAGGACGTGCTTTATTGCTTTATTTATTTAAGTTTATTTGAGAGAGAGTGTGCATGTGCGAGTGGGGGAAGGGCAGAGAGAGAGAGAGAGAGTGAGAGACGGGGGGTGGGGGGGGAGAGAGAGAGAGAGAGAGAGAGAGAGAGAGAGAGAGAGAGAATCACAAGCAGGCTCCAGATTGCCAGTGCAGAACCTGTTGTGGGGCTTGAACTCGCAAACCACAAGATCATGACCTGAGCCGAAGTCGGGCGCTTAACAACGGAGCCAGGGTGTGCTTTAAAAAGAGGTCTGAACAAGTTGTGCAGAGGCAGGCAGCGGGGCCACGGGGCCACGTGAGGTTTGGGTTTTGAAGGAGGAGCACGGATCTGTTAGACGTGAAAAGGATTAAGGGCCTGTTAGGCAGAGTTAGGTGGGAAATCCTTGGTGCATCTGGCTCAGAGAGGAGGTGGGCATTCGGTGAGGCTAACGAGGGGCTGTGCATGTCATGGAGGGCATGGGGCCTGGGGCCAGATTGGGCAAAGGCCTGAATACCATTCCAAGAAGAGTCTGTACTCCCTACTCGTTGTAATGAGAAGCTACTGATGAGTTTCCATCAGAAGAAAGACGTAATGGAGGCACATTATAAGAAGATTCGCTTACTAAATTTGGTAAACCTTAACCGAACGCCTGATACATTTGTGGCCCTGGGCCTGGCTCTGGGTCCACATCAGTGAAGACAAAAGACAAGGCTGCTGTCCTCAGAGCTTACAGAAGGCGCGCGAGGCAGACCAGTGGCCAGGTAATTCATAGCGTGGTAGGGGCTACGATAAAGCGCAGGGTGTCACCAGAGGCATGTTTGAGGGACACTTAACTCCATCCTAGAGGGGGAGACTTTTACTCTGAGGCCTGGAGAATGTACCAGCGGTGTCCTGGACGAGCATGGGGGAGAAGAGAGCTCTGAGAAAGTGACGCAGCCTAACTCTGGCATTGATTTGGGATCCGAACTATGTACTAGGTAGGCATTGAGAGGACTGCCAGTCTTCATTCTGCCGTGTCATCCCCTCACTGTGAGCGTGGGCTGCACCCAGTGAGTAACTTCCAATGAACAGATACAGCCTAAATGACGTCACAGCTGAGATTAGGTTCAAAAGTGCTTTGGCTTCCATCTCTCCCTCTCGCCTGCCTGTTCTGATGGAAACCAGCTGCCATGTTGTGAGCTGCCCTGTGGAGAGGCGTCACCTGTCGTGCAGTGGGCTCTGGAGGTCCAGAAGGGGTAAGGCCCACTCCCTTCCTCCGATGGGAACGAAGTAGGCTTGGAGGGAGGAGAGAGAAGGAAGCGGAGTTGCCAAACGCCAGGAGCCTCTGGTTGGTCTGTAGAGGTGAAACTGAGTGTCGGCTGGTTTTACACATAGCCAAAATGGAAACACTTGAGTGGATTTGGGCTCTGTTTGTTTAACGGGGAAACAGCTACACCAAAACACAGCAGATGGGAAATGAAGTTCCACCGTGGGGCAGAAGAATAAAAATACATCAGTTGGGGCTCCGACTAAGCCTGGAACCTCAAGTCCCCGTCCACACCTACGTGGAGACCCTAGAGTCCACTTGGGCTCAACATCAAGAGTCTTTTTCACCAGCCCCTGGACTCCCCTTGCCCAGGTACCATATTCCAGTTACTTGACTTTTTCATTTCATTTTGTTTTTAAATTTTTTAACATTTATTGATTTTTGAGAGAGAGAGAGAGAGACAGAGCACAAGTTGGGGAAGGGAGAGAGAGAGGGAGACACAGAATCCGAAGCAGGCTCTGTGTTCTGAGCTGTCAGCACAGAGCCTGATGTAGGGCTCGAACTCACGGAGTGCGAGATCATGACCTGAGCCGAAGTCCAACAGTTAACAGACTGAGCCACCCAGGCGCCCCGACTTTTTCATTTCTTGTATACAGCTAGCAGGTGGAATCCAAACTTCTGCCTGTCAGGGAAGAGCAAATATTAATATGCTACCAGAAAATAAACAAAATGGGGTTCATGCCTAACAAAAGTTTTAAAGAAAGCTTGATGCCTCTAAGTACCTCCCTGCAGTTGAGAGGGCTCTTTGCCCTATTTTCAACATTTTTAAAAAGTTTAAGGGAAATGATACAGTCATTTCTGTTATGGCTCCCTAGGCTAACCAAAAGGTTATTGTTATTGTACTTTTTCTTGGAATCATCTCATAGGAAATCAAATTTCTTTTTGGTTTCCAAGTTTTATTGAGATATAATTAACACGTGACATGGTATTAGTTTAAGGTTACAGCATAATGACTTGAGATATATAGAGACAGCAAGAACGATCACCACAGTAAGTTTAGTTAACATCTATCACCTCACATAGTTACAATTTTTTTTTTTTTTTTTTTTTTTTTTTTTTTTTTTTTTTTTTGTGATGAGAAGTTTTAAGTCTATCATCTTAGTGACTTTCAAATGCACAGTACATTCTTGTTAACTCTAGTCACCATGTTCTACGTTACACCCCCAGGACTTATAACTGGAAGTGTGTATCTTTTGACCTCCTTCACCATGTTGCTCCCCACCCCCTACCCCCCCACCTCTGGCAACCACCACTCTGTTCTCTGCGTCTGAGTTTGAGGAATCCAAATTTCTGATTCCCCAGTAAATATATTTTGTGAAGGATATGAAATCTTTTAAAACAAGAGATCCATCAATGAAAACAAAGCCTATAGGATACTCTTGATCTTGGAAAGGTTGGGAACCACAAGTTTTGATCAACCTCCTTATTTCACAGATGAGAAAACAGGTTGTGTGGTGTTAAGTGTTAAGTTTTGTGGCAGAAACTCTGCCTACAACTCGGGCCTCCCGGCTACATATATCAGCGATCATTCTCCAGCCCCATAGCAACTCTCCCTTCATGGAAAGCCCATCTTGTGAAGGACAGGTTACACTTCTTAATGTTTGGGCAAAGGCAAGGAACAATAAACAGTGGTGGAAATTATAGGGAGGGAAATTTTTGTTTTGTAGAGCAAAAAAAAAAAAAATTTTTTTTTTTTTTTTTTAAACAGTTGGAACTGTTCAATCGGGAAAGATGCTTTCTTGAGAGTGTCTGGAAAAATTGTGAAACAGTTAAAATGGAAAAAAAAAAGCTTACTGGGTGTCAGATGGTGTGGTAGGCCTTTCTGGATTATCTGCATTTATTTATGTATGTTTATTTATTTTGAGAGATAGAGCACAAGTGGGGGAAGGGCAGAGAGAGAAGGGGAGAGGATCTGAAGTGGGCTCTGTGCTGACAGCAGAGAGCCCAATGGGGGGGGGGGGGGGAATATGGAAGCTTCATGAATTTGTGTGTCATCCTTGTGCAGGGGCCATGCTAATCTTCTCTATATCGTATATCTATATTTTAGTATATGTGCTGCCCAAAGGAGCACTGGGTTATCTGTTTTTATTAATGGTCTGTGCCTCCTATGGTCCTGTAACTATTTTACAATTCTGTAGATCGTAGAAAACTGCTAGTAATGCAAATAGTTCTTTTCCATGGAGATGCAAACAAAATCTGTTTGAGGTGCCATTGATCTCCTCCCACCCCTGGAAGTCGGTTTTGCATTTAACATATTCATTTCAGCATTCCTGATGGCCTGCCTGTGTAAGTGTCTGTTTTTTGGGTCCTTCTGTAAACAGGTTTTTCACACTTTACTCGTTCCCTCATTAATTAATGAGTCAAATAAAATCTTTGATGTGTGTTCACTTTATAGTTGTCTGAGAGTCATGATTTTTTTCTTTTGAAAACAATTCTCTTTAACCAGGAGGTCTTGGATGTTCCATCCCTGGGTGTGTTCAGGCAGGTGGTGTGGCCATCCTTGATCCTTATACCAGACTCCTATGGCTCTTTCCAGACTTTAATGTAAAGAGTTGTTCACATCTCTGTTTCCCTCAGGAGACTCTCTTTTCCTGAGGAGGGGGACCCAGCTAATGTATGCGCACTAACAAAAATTTGTTAAGGGAAGGGGAAATACGGTGTGCGATTTACTCACCTTTTCCATTTAGGACCACCAGGGGGAGCAGAAGCCTTCCTTTACTAACGTCGGGAACCCACCTAGGGAGCGTCCGGGGTGGAAGGAAGTGTAGCCCAAAGGAGGATCAGGGACGAGAAAGAGTTCATCCAGCCCGACCGCTTACGACCGTATCTTTATGGGAGGAGATGAAGTCAGCCTGGAGCACGCACTAAGATCGCAGAGGAGGGCAAAGTTCTGTTAGAATTACGAAAATATTTACAGCCTTTTAACCTGAATACACAGAGCACATTCTTGTCGTGACTTGAGAATTCAGTCTTCGGACTGCCACTCCCACTTACTGAGCGCCGCCCTCTGCTGGATAGGTCGGTGGTTCCCAAGGAGGAAGATGAACGGGGAAGAGGGAAGAAAGGGAGGGAAGGGGCGGCGCAAAGACCCCGCCCACCTTTTCGGTAGACCCATCCCACCTGGCAGTCCACACCTAGTAGGAACGAAGACGGCTTCGGCTTGACAAACAAACAGTTCGTGACACAGACATCTCGATCTTACCACCCCGGTTCTGTGCGGTGCGAACCAGACCCCTCCGGAAACGGAGTCCTCTAGAGAAACCGCAACCCCCAAAGTTGTACAGATTATTAGCGGCAGGTGCTGCCTCCAACGTTGGACTCCTTCCATTTCTCGGAGGGGTCGCGATTGCGACCAGTGTCAAATCCAGAGTCTTCGCCGCCGCCCCGCCGCACCCCCGGTTATTTCCTCCAAGAAAGAACACGCGCCCCCAGCGGTATCCCGCAGTCCCCCGGACGGCCAGCTCCGTCCCTTGGAGCGCCCTTCCTCGGTTGCGGGGGGTGGGGGGGGGGGGGGAAAAGAGGACATGGCTCTCCTCCCACCTGCAGGCCACAGGCGTCTCACAGTCCCCAGGACAGCATGGCGGCCAGGCCGACCTGGGTGCAGGCCGCGAGCGGCCGTCGGGGGAAAAGGAGGGGGTCTCCCTCGCGCCCGCCCTTTTCCCTGGACTCCCCCGCCCTCCCCCCCGCGCCGGAGCCGGAGCCGCCCAGGCAGGAGGGCCAGCCGCTTAAGGGGAGCGACGGGGCGCGGCGCAGGTGAGGGGCGGGCCCGCCGGGCGGATCTGCGCTGCGCGCCGGCGCCGAGCGCAGCGGTATTTAGAAGCGCGGCGCGCGGGGCGCGCACGGGCAGCGCAGGAGACTCCCGCTGGCCTCGACGCTCCTCAGCCCGCGGCCGCCGCCCGCCTCCGCCTGCCCCTCCAGCCTTCCTTCGCCCCGACCCGGCCGGCCGCCCGCCCGCCACTTCCGAGCGCTCACACGAAGACGCGCTCACCTGGGACGCGCTCACCTGCCTCCGGGCGCCTGGGCAGCAGGATGAAGGACCGACTGGAGCAGCCGAAGGCCGTGAGTCCCGCCGCACCCGGGAACTGTGGGCAGGAGCGCCTTTACGCAGGAAAAGCGCTATATTCCCATCAGGCTGAGGGCCCGCGCCAGGCCTGCGCCCCCGGAGCTCCCGCCGCGCCCGCTTCGGTCAGTGAATTCATCCCTGGGTTGTGATTTCCTTGGATGCCTCCCTCCCCTCCCCACAAGCTGGACAGTTTCAGTTCAGAGCTGGGGTCTGCGGGTGGGGGTTCTTTGAGTCCAGAGGAGTTCTCTGTGAGGTCAGGGGTCACCTCTACCAGCCTGCTACCTGGCAATATGCCCAGGATCAGCCTCCTCCTACCCGCCTTGTCTCCCTTGGGGGGCGGGGAGGGGGCGCCGAGTACGGCTGCCCCTCCCCCAGGACCTGCTCAGAGCCCCTGGGTGACCTCCTGAGCTGTGAGCTGGTCACGTGCCAGGATGGGCCCAGCACCTCGCCACCCTGAGGTCTATAATTATTAATTTCTCCCTTATCCTCCGGACAGCTGTGGTCAGGGCAAAGGATCTGAATGAAGGTAGACCGCCTCCAGTCCTACTGCACAAAAGCCTTAAAACCCCGAGCTACTTAGTCTTTTGAGCCTGTGTTTCCTTGTCTGTCAAACGGGGATGATCATCCCTTAGAGATTTGCTATGAGATCAAATGACATAATGGGACTTGATATAGAGGATGGTTAAAGCTTGGGTTTTTGAGTCATTGACTCACGTAACAAATAATTACCGAGTACATTCTATGGGGCAGGCCCGGTGCTCAGCCCTGGGAATTGGGGGACACAGGCTCTGTGTATATGGAATTTTAAATGTAGCCTTTGATAGAGACAAAGCAGTCCCTCTTCTTGGGAGCTTGTGAGAAGTGCGAGGCTTCAGCCCCTGACTGCACCCACAAAATCAGTCTGATTGCTCTCGAATCTCCCCAGGGGATGCAGGAACACATGAAAGTTTGGGAAGCTTGGGAATGGATAGAACTGGGGTTGCCTCCTGGCTACACCGATTACTGGCTGTCCCTCCACCTCTGAGCCTAAGTTTTCAGGTCTGTGAAGTGTGTGGTTGTAAGGACTAAAAGCAAGAGCACACAGAGCCCTTTGCGTGATGCAGGGTACGTGTGGGATGAATAGGTGGTAAATATGCTGATAGCTGTAAAAGCTCCTCGGGCAAAAATACAGGCCTTGTTCAAGGCACTGCTGAGATGCTGTTACAGTGGCTTTTCTTTCTCTTCCCTTATCCTGGGTAAGACCTTTCGCTCCTTTCACCTGCTCTGGGTCATAATGCTGCAGAGGAGGTGAGGGTGATGGGGAAGTGAGAGAAGAAAAAGGGCAGCTACAAATGGGGGGGGGAGGGAGCCGGGGAAGGAGCCTCCCTGCCTCCTGCCCGCTCTTTGTCATTGAAGCTTCATAACATCGCCTTTACTGACAGGACAGATTTTATTGCCCCTATTTTTTATACAAGAGGCAAGTAGAGCTCAGCTTGGGTAGGAGGGGTGTCGCGGTTCCCAGGGCTGGTCAGGGCACAGCCCGGAGAGGAACCCAGGCTCCTGACGCTCTCCACCATACTCCTTCCCTGAGGCTCGCTGGAAAGGAAAGAGGAGTGTGGTTTTGAAGATCTTCCCAGCAATCATAAAACAGTGCGGAACTGAACGGCAGGCCCAGGCGACTCCCTTCCGTGCGTTAGGAAACCCATTTCCAGAGGAAGATAGCCCACCGCCCCTGTCAAGCCCACGGTCAACAAATAGCAAAGAACTCTTGAGTTCTGAGCATCAGTTCAGTTTGCCAGGAAAGCCAAGCAAGTCCCCTGGCTTCCCCGAGCGTCCAGGCGGGGCTTTACCTCTGGGGAAGGGAAAAGTCACACTGGGGACTGGGCACTTGTGGGGTGATGTTCTGAAATCACAGGTTTTGGAGCAGGGGCATGGCTGGTGGTGCCCAGCAAAGAGGACCAGGCTGCAGGTTCAAAGGTTCTGATTGTTGCCTTGCTACTTAATAGCTGTGTTCCTTTGTACCCCCTCTGCTTCTCTGTTCCCCTTTTGTAAAACAAGAAGTTTGGTTCATCTCAGAACCCCCTCTTGGCAATACTGATGTCTTGCCCTGGACCATTGTTCACGTTTGTATGGGTTTTGGTTTCTAGTCCACCCCCCACCTCTGGGTGAGAGATGCCTTCACTGCAACAAGATAACCATCCCTCTGCTTACTTTCATCAATAAAAAACGTTGGTTACCCCGCATGAAACCAGTTTCACACTGAACAGCCTGTGTAATCTCCTCTGTGGCATCTTTCTAAACCTTTGGGGGAGGCGAGGTGATAACTGGGGGAGGGTGGTCATGTGCAGGAGATTAGCCTTCCTCTGTGTGGGTATCAGAAGTAGATGTGAAGTTGACGGGTCAAAATAAGGATTCTCTGCGTGAAAGCATTCTCAGTAGTCAGAGCTGCCCAGGGACGGACTGGGGTGGCCAGAGAGGTTGGGAACTCTTAAGCCTGGGGCGAGGCAGGAAGCTTGTGGGGAGTTTGAGCAGCTCTCTGAGGGTGGAGAGGCAAACTGGTTTCAGGCCCTCATCCACCTTGCTGATACATGGTTCTCTAAAATGCTTTGTTGTGTGTGAACCTGTGTTAGGCACCATGAGGCTCTTGGGTTTCCAGGACCAAGGTCTCAGAGTTGCACCTGTAAAGTGGGTCATCGTACCTTCCCCATAGAGCCATTGTGGAGGTTGAATGAAATAATCCAAGATAATCACCCACCATTGTGCATGTGCCTTCCCCCAACTTGACCTGCCGGGAGCAGCATCCACACTGAAGGGGCACACCTTCCCGAGGCCATGGTCACAAGACCTGACTCATCTCTTGCGTTGCTCCTCCTGGTAGGCCTCCTCAGCAGCCTGCTTCTTCAGGGAGTAGGACAGGCATACCAGGAATGCACAGGGTCTACCCCCAGCCCGTCTCACAGGCTGATTTCTTACTAGCTGAACTTTGGATCTACGGAGTCCACACAATTCCCATCCAGGGACCTCTTGCCCGGCTCTCTTTTCATTCAGCAAACATTGACTGAGCACCTACTGTGGCCCAAGCCCCGCCTTAGGTGCCGGGTTATAATGGTGATTACCACCTATTCCTGGACCTTAGAAGTTCACAGTCAGATAGGGAGACGCACAAGAAACGGAAAATGATGATACCATCCTTGTGTTAGAAGCTACTGTGGGAAGACCCTGTCGAGTGGCCTCTGGGGACAAGACACTAGGGGGTGCAGGGTGTTTCCCAGAAGTGATGCTTGAGCTCAGGTCTCGTTAAGATCAAGTCCGATCTCTTCAAGGCACATAGAGTCTCCTGAGAGGCAGGGATCCTGGATTTTCTCAGCCACTGTCTCATTGGCGAGTGCTCCACTATTTCACCATGATAAGTGCTTTGGGACTTTCCTGTGCTGGGTGTGCTGATCCTCCTTTCTGACCTCTTCCTGCTGGATAGCATGTTATGCAGAATTACTACACAAGGTTCTGGTCTTTTTTTTTTTTTTTATTTTTTTTTTTCAATGTTTATTTATTTTTGGGACAGAGAGAGACAGAGCATGAACGGGGGAGGGGCAGAGAGAGAGGGAGACACAGAATCGGAAACAGGCTCCAGTCTCCGAGCCATCAGCCCAGAGCCTGACGCGGGGCTCGAACTCACGGACCGTGAGATCGTGACCTGGCTGAAGTCGGACGCTTAACCGACTGCGCCACCCAGGCGCCCCGGTTCTGGTCTTAAAGAGTAAATGGTCATGTATGAAACAACTCGCAAATTAAAGGTAGATAATGATAGCAGAGAAGCCAGTGATGTTGGGTAGGGAAAAGAGGGCAAGAACTTTGGACCCCCTGGAGTTGGTGTACGGAGGACTAGAAAGAACTTGGGGTACACCGGCCCCTCCAAGGCAAGTGCTAATAGGGATGCATGAATGAAATCAACCACCTGGAACTCTAAAAGGCCAGAGTAACTTTTTATTCATTCTGTTCTGTCTTGTCTCTTGCTGCATCCTGAAGGGCTCCTTGGCTTCCTGCTGCTTTTGACAGTCTGGATCTCTGTGGGATCAGAGTATAACCCCTCAGAATCATGGGGCTGTACTTCCCCTTAAAGCTCAATTCGTTTACTGCATAGATATTGGCCCCTGCTATGTGCCAGGTACTTTGGATCCTAACCAAATCTTAACATCCTGACTTGAGAATCTCTTCACTGAGATTCAACTTAAGACCCTTTTCATTGAGATTCTGTACTTTAGTGATAAGATTTCTCACTGGTCTGTGATTTCTTCCTGGGAGGATTCACCCCCGGGAGAGCGATTTAGCTGGAGCAGACTGGGAGGCCAGGCCGAGATGAGTTAACAGGGGATTGAGCAGGGATTATGGACTCATCAGGCTGAGGCC